AGTATGTTCAATTCGTGATGAAAATGTTTACAAATGTTGTTGTTCTTAGTATGTTCAATTCCTGATGAAAATGTTTAGAAATGTTGTTGTTTTAAATATGTTCAATTCGTGACGAAAATGTTTACAAATGTTGTTGTTTTAAATATGTTCAATTCGTGACGAAAATGTTCACAAATGTTGTTTTAACTATGTTCAATTCCTGACGAAAATGTTTAGAAATGTTGTTTTAAATTTTTTAAATTTTATTTGTGAAGAAAACACCTTATATCCTTGGGCGTTTTTAGGAAAACTGCTGTATATTTATCAATACAATTTATTGGCAGCTCAATTTTGTCAGGAATGGTGTACACTATATTTTGTACCTAAGCTCTTCATATATAGTTATTCATGCATTTTTAAGATTTTTAACATTTAGTCAATAGGAATTTCCAGTTCAGAATGTAGACTACCCTATGCATAAAGTGAGAGAAATCATAGTTTACATTAATGCTGCTACAAAATAGAATGTTTTTTTATTATATTATATATTATTCCTAGAGCTAACAGTCAAATTTTACCAGTCTCCTCTTGCAGATAAAAGCACTTTAATGATATTAATCTAAATATGTTTGTTACTGTGTGTTTAATGAGGGTTTTTGTTAATAGACTAGAAGCATCAAGACACTTACATCAGCAAAAAAGTTTGCAACATGAGAAAGCAGTAGGTTTAAAACAATCTAAATTTATGAAAAACAAACATTTGACTTATTTAGAGATATGGAACTGTACAAGACCAAAGTTCAATAACTATACTGGGGTCCTCCTAAATATATTCAAGAACAGTCATTATTATATAAAAATTATATACATATATGTTTTCAAAAATACTACAGCTCCGATGTCTGTGAATCTCACCAAAACAGGAAAGGCCTAATCAACCGGAATTAATGCAACCATATAAATCTCTCTTCAAACATATCACAGGTAATAAATTTACCTACAGACTCACTGCTACACTGTAAATGAGTATTGTACACTGCCAGAATCAACAGTACAGATTAAGTGGTTTCACAGATTATAAGACATATGTGTACATGTCCAACTGCTACAAACTTGCAGTCTATTACTTTTCACAATGTTATTGATAGATTGTACAAGTATACTTAAAATACACTGTTGAATTATTCTTTTTTCCCTTCAGGCACAAACATCAAATTCTCATTAATGCTGCACAAAGGTGCTGAGACTATTCCAGATGGTATGTTATTCCAGGCTGTGATCATCTGGTTGAAGAAGAGATTCCTTCCTGATCTCTGTAGGTGATAATGGCTTGTTGAATTTGAAATTGTGGGCTCCTGTGATGTATGATAACATCATACTACAAATGGGAAACAAGGGGATCTTTTGGTCCTTCAAGGCTGTACCTGCATATACACCCTTGAGAAAAGGCAAAATCTTAAAACCACTCTATTTTTCAGGAAATTACTGATTTCCCTCTAAACTCTTGTAAAGATTTGGCTACCACTAATGCCATAAACATCTTATTCCATATCGCAATTACCATGCCAGAAGAATAAAGCTTAACTGGAGCCTAGCCTATCTTTTTCCATAACTTAAACTTGTGTCCTCTTGTTCAGTTGTCTTCAGAACACAGCACAAAGAAATAAGAGGCCTTTATCATAGTAATCAAATGATTAATCTTTTCAAACTATAATAAGATTACATCTTACCCTTCTTTGTAAATGAAAACAAATTAAGAGAACTTAACCTATACTTATAAGGAACCCTTCTATTCCCAAAATCATCCTAGTATCCCTCTTTTCCAGTAAGTCCATATCATTTCTTAGATAAGAATTCCAAAACTGCACACACAGTATTCCACATGAGGCCTAACATATGATTTATATAAAGATGATTCTCTTCTGACTTGTAATCAATGTATCTAAACACATACCCTGAAATCTTGTTAACTTTGGCACAGATAACAGATCATTGCCTTGATGAATTAAGTGACAGTACTGAGTGGATTCACATCTATATTAATACTATCTGGACCAATGAGCACCTTTCAGGTGTCAACTGCATATCAAATTTTAAAAATTGGGTAATGATAATCATGTTAACTCTATTTCAACAATCTTTACTCAAAAATATTTTAGAATTGATATTTTGTCATTTGTAACATTTACTTAGTGTAAAAAATGATCAAACTTGCATTTCTTCACAGATCTGAGAAGCCTCTCTAATAAACAACATAATGATTCTTTTTAATGTTTCTGCTCATCTCAAAGCATAGCTTTGTAATTGGTAAGAAAGTATCATGTTTTATTTCTCCTTTGATTTTTCCTTCTCTTTCTCTGATTTTATTAATACAGCATCTGATGCACACCTTTTTATGATCTCACAGAATGTAATGTAAACAACTTCATAATAATAACTATGCTTAGCTTTTCAAAGTAGTTACAAACTAAGTTTAAATACTACTGTATAGAGAAGATTCCAAACTAATCAAGTGAATGTAGTATGTAAACTGGTACGAGAAGTAATTTATGATTTTGTGGAAAATAATTAGATATACAGAAAAATGGAACTGAGTGGAAAGTTTAGGAGACTTAAGAATACCTAACAAATCTAGGATTTTTTACAGTTTTTTTAGAAGTTATTTTCTTTCCTGAAAGAATTTTTGTGCTAAATTATATTTGTTTGAAAGCTGCAGAAAATTTCTTCTGTATCAGGTTCTTGCATTGATGGCCAAGCTACTACAAGTATCTGCTACCATTCTTAATTTTGAACTGCTGACAAGAAGAATGGCAGCCAGTTAGCAGTTCCCTACACTTACACTAATAAATTAAGTGTTACTTTTATAATACACCCACAACTTAAAGTGTGAGGAACATTTTGTGGTATCACAAAAATTTTATGCTGGTTTGACAACTCCAAAATCCAGAGCTCTACCACAGTTTTATTATATTTAAATAACACAGATAAGTAAAAGATCTATTTATAGAAAAGAACCTATATTTTTGAAAATAAATTGATCTGGTCAAGATTATGGTTACCTTGGCTGACCTGACACCAGCATGACAGGTGAAATCACAGGTCAATAAATCTTTGTCAATTGTTGCTGTGTTTTTTTATTATTTATAGCCAAAAGTTTTGACTACTGTAATTGGTAAAATAAAGTATCAAAAGAAATATGTTACTGAATGGGTCATTGCACGTCAAATCACCAAGCAAAAAGCCATTTTGATACCCAACATCTCAAAATTGGCCAATTTTTTAACTTATGGTACCTGTCTATGGGTTAAGTATACCTGCAAATGTTTTTTGCAAAATTATTTCTCCTTCTGCAAATAGAAACATTTGAATTTTAGCCAAATTTGGTCAAAAATTGTTCGTGGTGGCCATTTTGGATTTTCACAAATACCCTATGCCATTGTAATTATTTTCATAATTTCACCCAATTTTATTGAAATTGGACCAAGATTTTCCCTTCCCCTAATTTAAGTATAAGGAATCTAAATATGGAAACAGCTTTTACTTATATCCTAAAACAATCTCCCCAGTTACCCTTTAAACCCCCCTACTATAGAATTTTAAGATTTATGAAAGGGTTCATGCCCTATTTTTTGAAATTATTAGAATCCAATGTTTGACAAAACTTATCAACACCAAATTTGGAGCAAATACTCTTCAAACCATGTAGTTTACTATATTAAAAACCTGAGATGGTTTTTTTTCAGAGGACTATTACTTTGGAACAAGGTTCTATATTAAAAATGAATATTATCTACATGAGTTACAGAAGATTGGTGCAATTCTAAAGGCAGTTTTAACAGTTTTAATTGTTCTCTGATATCATCCTTATATGGAAAACGCTAATCTCTGTTCACCAAATTATTGTATAGTCAGTATTCAACTATGTAATCATGAAATAATGTAATGAGTAATTCCTTCGTTAAAGGTGTTGAATGTGTTACGTCTCCGTTTTTTTTAATTGCA